TGTAACGATATGGTGTATAATACTGTATCATTTGATATGAGGCTCTTGATTCGATATGTCTCTGTATCAAACAATACATGCAAAAGCCTGCATAATAAAGTAGGATATTCATCGTAAAATACCACTTTTATTACGCAAGGTGTACTAAACAATTACACTTAATCAAGCCCACATTTCCTACAAACAGATCATCAGAAAAATCATGGGAATAGAACGCTTAGCACTTAGAACTGTAGGCTGTTTTAACGGTTACTTGTTTGTTTTAGTGAAGGCTACATATAGGTCTAAGCTAGTTGCTTGCAATTAGGAGCGAAGTGAGCTGTCAGCAGTGTGAAACAGAACGGTGCCAAATCTGACAAGAGAATGCTAGACAGCAGGGAACTTTCCGGGAACATTCACTAACAGATCATTCCCTGTTGCCTGGCGTTTTATAGTCAAATTTATTAGTGAGACACCTGCGCCTGCTTCCTGTTACAAAGAAGCCCAATGCGGAGTTCGATGTTAGTAAGTGCAAGTCTGAGGTCATCGTCTACCTGGAGGAGATTTCGATACTTGGTTTTCAGCGCGCCAATTTAGATTCACAGGTATGTTGACGTGAACAGAATTAGAAATTTGACTGTAGAATCTGACAATTGAGGGTGTTCGTTAATCATCAACAAGTAAAATGAAGACAGTGAGCATGTGACAAAGCGGTGTCTCAATTTGTTGTTTCTCTTTACTTCAATTAATTGCTTCTCCATTTCGACAGCTAGGTCTTTGCCTGGGCAACTGAAGGGGTCCTGGACCCACGAAAATGAAGTGCAACCGTCGCTGAAATAGCCCAATTGCTGTTTCAGTCCAACAACGTGTTCAGTGATGGTGTGTATCAAAGGAGAGATATTCCCCATCCCTGCCTCTTGCACACAGTCAGAAAAGGTTCGAAACGTGTCAACGTTTTTGTTTACCAGCCGATCACGTCAAAGATATGAGATATTCACTAGATATGACAGCTGTGCTACCCACAGGGGATCATCAAGGTAACTTGCAAGTTCGGACTTAGCATCAGATAGAATAGATTTGACCTCACGCTTGCAATTCATACAAGCGATGTAGCACTTTACCTTTGGACAGCCAGCGCACCTCCGTGTGAAAGAGTAGCTGCTCGTGCTCGGACGCCATATCACAGGAGCGACACAGCAGCGAAAACAGGTGTGCTTTAATATAATTCACCATTTGCACTGCTTGCTTTATAACAGGCTCAAGAGACTCTGGTATTTTCTTTGCAGCAAGGGCTTCATGATGGATCATGCAATGGGTCCACTTTGCTTAAGGGGCTATCTGCGGGACGCATGTGACCAAGCCGCTCACCCTCCCAGGCACTGAATGGGCGCAGTTTGTGCATATCCCAACACATTTATCCCACGCCATACCTTCATCTTGAACAAACCCATCCAGCACATCAAATAATGCGTCGCCGGTCGTGCAAGCTGGAAGAGGCAGACAAAAAAGAATCTCCCCCTCAATGCTATCGTCTTTCACGTACTGGACATAACTCAGCAATTGTGCTAGCCCTGCCACATCGGTAGTTTCATCCAGCTGCAATGTATAATCATATCACTTGCCAGATCTGATTAACTGTGTCATTTGAAAGGGGGATGTCAGTAATTTTCTCCAAACATATTTTACAGATGTCTTTAGTGGCAGGCAGAACATTTGCTAGACATCTGCTAGACATAATGTGTTTGCTGATAGTGTGTTTTTGCTGTTCTAGCCTAGTTAATCTCCGTTTGAAAAAATCCAGAGGCTTGTGTTTAAGTGTCGGTTGTTTCGTTTCTAAACTTGCGACATTCCGAATTGAGACATTTTCACTTGCATGGTTTCGTTTGCTAGCACATCTTCACAAACCACACACCAGGGAAGTGGTTCTGCATCTGTTCCAGCAAGAGAAAACCCAAAGTGGAGATAACTATGGTCATATTTTTGTATTTTACCTTTTTTGGGGGCAGATGGCAATGCAGAGGAAGCATTGTCATGTGAACTCCTTTTGGCACGTGTCATGCATTGCCTTTTCTAATCCCTAACCCCTACAAAGTCCTGTCCACTGCATAAACCCTGACTGCATATACATTTCTCACTCTTAATTGGGCCATACACTATTTATATGTACTTAGACCAGCTGCTCAACTCCAACTCAGCTACTCCTTTTGCTAACAACATGGAGAATGCACCTCAGTACATCAGTTCAGATGAGCTTGAGAAAGAAGGAGGGCAAAACGCAAATGGAAGAAAGACAAGATACAAGTATCATATCTGATTCTAAGGGACTGTTGAACTACCTATCAGTACTCTGTGAAAGCACCCAGGGCAAAATATTCTCTGACATTTTTTGTAAAAATTCTCATAGTCCTAAGATTCTTTTTAATACAATAAATGCAGTAATCAATCCTGCTCTCACATCTATCCCAGAGACCACTGCAGAAACTTTTTCATTTTGAAGTTTTCGTTGAGTTCGAAACAATTTTACACCAATCTCTGAACCACCTTTCTTTTAAAGGTTTTAGAAAAGGTAATTTCATCTCAGCTTTCTTAATTCCTAACCAGGAACAACATTTTTGAAAAATTCCAGTCAGCCTTTAGACAACACCATAGCATGGAATCTGCCCTCCTCAAAGTAGCTAATGATTTACTGCTGACTACTGATTCTGGAAAGTGTACTATTTTAATTTTGCTAAATGTTAGTGCAGACCTTGATACGACTGACCACAGAATTCTTCTGGATCTTCTAATGTATGGTGTAGATCTCCCGGGCACAGCTTTAAAGTGGTTTGCCTTCTACCTTAATAACAGGACTTTTTCAGCTAGGATTGGTCACATCTCCTCTTCTTTTGCTAGTATTAACTGGAGTACCCCAGGGCTCTATCTTGGGCCCTGTTTTGTTTTCCTTGTACATGCTTCTGCTCTGGTCTAACTTTCGGAAATAGAACATCTTATCACTGCTATGTGAACAATACACAGTTCTACCCTCCACTGAAACCAGGTGATCAAGACACTCTCATTCTCATTATTGACTGTCTCATGGATATTACATGCTGGATATCAAAAAACTTTCTGCAACTGAACCATGATAAGACTTAAGTTATTATAGTCATTCTGCTTCCACCACAGCTATAGCTGATAATCTGGGTCCATTATCAGCTAATATACACAGTTGTGTAAAAAAGAGTCTAGGCGTCACATTTTATTCTGCCCCAAAATTTGACAAGCAAATAAACTCAGTTGTGAGGGGTAGTTTTTTTTTTATTTTCAATTCCAAGCCATTGCTAAACTAAAATGCATCTCATCATTTCAAGATCTGGAAACTGTCATTCATAATTTCATTTCTTCCCATATAGACTACTGCAATTCCCTATTTATTCCCTAATTATTTTGGGATCGGTCAGTCAACCTTGTAGTGCCTATTTCTGCTGTTCTCTCTATTTCTGCTACAGAACTCATTATGTTTCAGTCAATCAAGTCCCCAGATCAGACACTTTGTTTATTCAATCAAGCATTTATTGGAAGAATTTATAAATGTATTTATTTATTTATTTTTAAGATATGGTGAACCTGTAGTACGTTTTATTTACAATATTAAACTTACTTCAATTTTTGATTTGTTTAATTTCATACAGACAAAAATGCACATTGTTTTGCATTGTTTATGATTCAGAAATAAAAAGAACAGCTTTTTTAGTCATATTTTTTCTTTCATTCAAATTCTGTTCAAAAAAAATCTGAGAATCAAACTGAATCAAAATCTTGAAGCCAGTATCATGAAAATCGTGACTGGAGTGTACTGTTACACCTCTAGCGCTAAGTCAATATATAATTCTTCATGCTGCTATCAAGAATGACAAAATGACCACGTAAAAGACAAAGGGATGCATTGGTAAAAATGCCTTAATGTCAAAGGGGTATGAGCTCCTATGCACAGAATGCAATAGTGCAGTGCCACCAAGCAATATGGTGAGATTTTAACCAATTGCCAGGACCACAAGTGAGCAGTGCCCCACAGCAGTGCCCCACAGCAGTTCCCAAGCAGGTAACTGCAAAAACAAAAGTGCTCTTTTATATGGAAAATAAGTTAATCTGCCTGAAGACTAGAAGAAGAGAACTAACAACTACCCCAGTGCAGTAATTTCACCATCACCACATTTTACAGCCGTACTGAACAGAAAAGCATCCCAGAATGCATAACAGGTCAAACTGAATATCTGTACTACTAAAGACACAAATATGCATCTATTTTATATTTGCATCTTTTATATTCTATATTATATATGTGTAATATAACTAAATGTGTTTGTTAACAGTTCTTCTCCTTTCTGTGATGCTTGGCCAATCTGCATATGGTCATTCTGGTAAAATGTATTTAACTGAACTAATATTTAATCGAACTGAATCGACGTGCATACTTATTTAGCTCATTCCCGTGCATTAATAAGTTATGGCCATGCATTATATTTATCGTGTAGGTCCCAGTGGAGCGCCATACAAATCTAACCTGCTTGCAAAAGTGATTTACACAGCAGCCCAGGGAGGTGGAGAACTCAGGTGGACTCTTGCTGAAGGAAAAGCACACTCTACACATTTACGCACACTCTACAGTGTCAAACTTTCAACTCAACTCAAGTGGGTTTTTATTGTCATTCCTCTATACAGCTCGTTTACCCTGGAATGAAATGTCGTGGGGGTTTTTTTCCCAGGACCATGGTGCAACACATAACAGCACACAAGACTACATAAGGTGCAAATACACAATAGTGTGAGATGAGTACAGAACAAAGCAACAAATACAAAGGACAATAAATACTGTGGTTTTGTACTGGTTTTGTACCCAAGACCAAAATAAAAAGAATTTAGGCTCAATTCGAATGGCATTTGACAGATGCATTTATCCAGAGCTACTTACATTTATCTCATTTATACAACTGAGCAGTTGAGGGTTAAGGGCCTTGCTCAAGGACCCAGCAGTGGCAGCTTGGCAGTGCTGGGGTTTGAACTCATGACCTTCTGATCAGAAGTCCAACATCTTAAACACTGAACTTCCACTGCAAAGACAATGAGTTTTGTATTGTTTTGTTGTTGTTGTTGTTGTTTTTAATACAACAGTTAGTTCTGGTCCACTAATCTGACTGGACAATCCCTGTTCCAAGAATGCTAATATTTAGTATAACAGCACTGGGGCATTTCACTGTTTGTATCACTCCGCCTGTCTGGGGTCACTACATTTAGCTACAGTTCACTACACTGAACCCGTTACTCCACTTACTATGGGATGTCAGTCAGTTTGGGCGTTGGCATGGCAACACGCAACGCTCTATCCAGCTGTGGCGTCTTTGGGAACTATTTTCGTTGAACAAAAATAAACAAAATAGTCTGTTTGGCCATATTGTGTCTGAAATGTCAGTTACTCGATATTAATTTCTTGTTTACAGAGCTGTTGTAATAAAAGTAATATCACACTCTTATATTGAATATAAGCACGGCTGTGATTACGTGTGGGACTTGGCCTACAGTCTCGAGCCGAATCACAGCTGTGCTGATGTTCACTACAAGAGCACTCCTGCTCGCGCGTAAATAAATATATACTGATACTGGGGGTGAGGGGGATTGGGGTGTTTAAAAACAAACAAACAAAAAAAACCTGAGCGAGGTAAATATTGAGTAAATGTCCTACCTCGCTGCTTGCATTAGTGGTGTCCAGCCATAATTATTCCGGCTATCCACAGACGCCCCTTTTCTCAGTAAGAAGCGAACTAAATGCTCGTGCCCGCTTGCAGCCGCGAAGTGTAACGCTGTGTTCCCTTCTTCATCGGTGCAGTCGACGGGTACAAGCGGCAGTCCTCCGCGCGCGATGTCCACACTGCACTCCGAGACAGAATCCAGGCGTGTTTTGGACTGTCTCCCCGAGTCGTTCCCAGCAGGCTCGAGAATGCTCTTTGCAGTCTCATAGTCGCCTTCATCGCAAGCACGGAACAACAAGAGGGAGTTTGCTGGAACGCCGAAATTCATTTTTTTCTCGTTCTACGCATCGGTGCGTACATTAACGACATCATCGGCACACGGTGATGTTGGTAGCCGCAGGAGCAGGAACATGCGTTAGTCAACCATCAAGTTGGAGTACTTGGAAACTTTTTTTTTTTTTTTCCCATGCAATGTTTGCGCGCGCGCGCACGCTCATGGAACGCGCATGCTCGTTGAAGGGTCATTCACCCTCCACGGACGACCACGAGCCAGTTCCGTTTGTCAAAATACATGTGGAGCAAAACCTTTCTAGGCATCGTTCCTTGTCATATCAAACATCCAAAAGAGTCCCGCCAGTAATAGCATTTAATTATTAAGTCTTAGATGTGAGATGCAGCAATTATTAACATTAAAAGTGTTAATACGTGT